ATGTTCACTGACATGATGCTTATCATAACTGGTTGATTCCAAAGAAACCAGCCCTTTTTATTTCTAGACAGCCATGCCTTCAATTCTGTGTCTAGAGGGAGGCGAGAGGTAGGAACCATTTTACTGGGTTCTTTGAATTTATTGCTTGTATCGATGGGTAATTGCAGCTTGCTTTTAGGTGCATTTTTAAGGTCCATTTAAGATCCTTCGGAATCATTCAGAGTTCATTGGCAGAAATGTTTGACCTGCGTTTTGACCTTCTTCTGAGCTGCATTAACCTGCTGTAAGCTGCTTTTGCATTCCCACTGACTTGTATGGGTTCTGTGTGATTGTAAATCTAAAAAAGCAGGCCCTCCTCCAATGTGCATGCTCCTTGCACATCCCCATGGCGAGTAGGAAACTAGCATGCTTTCTTTAATGTCATTTTAGCCGGAAATTGGATGCTGATGTTGGCTCTCAGGAGATGGGAGGGAAAAAAATGGAAGGCCTTATTTGCTTGAGAAAAGAGTTTTTGTATTGGAAGTACATTTCTGTAATAATTATCAAGCAGAAGTTTTCTTTAATAAGCTCTTCCTAAATATGGAAACCAAACTCAGTCCTTTTTGGTGTATGAGCCTTGTGGAAGGGATCAGCATCAGCAGCTTTTTTGGTCATTAAGTCCTTCTGTAAACTTTGCAGGTCAGTTTATTAACTCATACTGTGCACTTTTCTATGCAGCTCAGCATGCCATTTACCACATTGGCAGCTACTTTGCCCACACCTTTAGAACCGGTTATTCCAGCTCTTGCCCCAGTTCTGCCAGCTCTAACGCCTGCCATACCAGCGCTCACTGAACTGCAACAGCCACCATTAATGGGAAATGTAGACCCCACAAAAGTGGATGAAATTAGAAGAACAATTTATGTTGGAAATTTAAACTCACAGGTATTTTTTTATGTAGTCTTGTTTGCAAGCTTTTATGTCTGTCAGTCTGTCTGTTTGTACATGTTACATGATTGCCGTGTTTTTTTTCTCCTTTTCTTGGATGTATATCATTCTCTTTGTTTTATAGTTCTTCCTTTTTTCCCTTTTCTGTTTTTCTTTCTGGCCTGTCGCATATTTTCATGTTTTGATGGCTGACCTCTGATTTGTACACATATTTAGACCACCCCATCTGCACAGAGCAGTAGTACTGTACAATTTAGCTCTCAGAAGAGCAGCCGTGCATGATTTTTACATTTAGTCCTGCAAATTGTAAGTATCTAGGCATCTAAATATCTTACAAATATAAATGTTTTTTAAAGATTAAATAAAATGTGAATTTAGGTCAGCATTGATCAAATAGTGTGGCATAGGGGAGGAAGGCTTCTGACAGTGCCCACAATGTAGAGCGGCTGGGAGTCGATGCTGACAGGTAGCTTACAATACCCCTCTTATATCAATAAAATGCATCAGCACATTCCTGTAAAGAATGTAATCTTCTTTTATTAATCTGTGTGACAACTTGTTTTGCTAAACAATTATCTTGCAGACTACAACAGCGGAGCAGCTTCTGGAATTCTTTAAGCAAGTTGGGGATGTCCGCTTTGTCCGTATGGCTGGTGATGAAACTCAGCCGACGCGGTTTGCTTTTGTAGAATTTTCTGACCAGAATTCAGTGACACGAGCGCTGACATTCAATGGAGTTATGTTTGGTGACAGACCCCTTAAGTAAGTGGCTTTGATTTTAAGTTTCTTAAGTTATCTTTTCTTAAGTTATACTATGCTGTGTGGAATATACTGTAATTGGAAAAATAGATCCAAGCAATATTCTCTAAAAAGAAGACTGTCTGGGGGTCGTGCTGTGTATTTATTTAAAACATTACATTGCCAGTTACTGCAGGAATTGTTTTTATGTTGTCGTCCTAAATGAGCCCCTGCCTTTGTTGCCTTTTGCATACCTGCTTCCCAAGAACTCAGACAGCTGAGAGAGACCTACTACTTAGTCAAAAGTTAAGTTCATATGTATATACAGTGGTACCTCAGTTCACAAACTTAATTCGTCCCATGATTCTGGTCGCGAACCCAATCGAACTGTGATCAGACCGCAATCTCGACTAGAGGAAGCCACGACCATATGTCAGAGCAGGGAAGATGGCTGCGGTTGTGTTAGTCACCCGATGCGGAGTTCGCGAACGGAAGCAAAATTTTGCTGAACTTCCTGTTCGCAAACAGAAGCGTTCGTGAACCGAGGTGCCACTGTATTATAGTGGTCATGCTGATCCTCTGGCCCCAGTAATCTCTCACTATATGAAGGGCAAGCGTCGGTGGGCTTTTGTTTGCTTCGCAACTGCTACTCCCCATACAAGTCTGTAGTAAAAAGCATTCTGCATTTTCACATCAAAGCCCATTGACACAGGCCCTTATGCATGCTTGTCCTTCCAGTGATTCAAAGAATCGTAGCCAGAGGCAACCGGGCTGGAAGCATTTTCAGAAAGTTGGTAATTTCAGCCAACATCTCATGATACGTTTCCTTTATGCCTGTAGTCCAGGCAGACGGCTAAATACACCATTAAAAATACTGTGATATTAACTGCCTTACCTGCCAAAAGATTTGTAATTCTATTCAACCTGTTGCATGCCTCAAGACCTCTCTGCAGACTAGACATGAGCCTGTGATTGCATAGTGTGGGGCAGCAGCACACTGATGACATCATCACACTGCTCCATTGAGAGCTGTCATGGTTAGATTGTCAGTACTCAGCAGTACAGTAATGTCCTCCCTCCCTCTCCAAGTCAGTGTGCAGCTATGTAAGGTATTGCTTTAGGCTGGTAAAACAGATTCTGGTGTTTGTAGTATGTATAGGGTTAAACTTTTTAGCAGTTTGGGAAATAGAGTAAGGCGCAAAGAAAGATATATGCATTCATTAAAAAAGTTGCATATTAAAAGAACGGTTACCTTTAGGTATGTACTTCACTAATCCAGGCAATGAGGCTAAAAAGATTGTGGGCCTTGCCTATTTTATTCAATAAGGTTTTAAACCAATCACACACGGCTTCTCCATTTTGGCTTTATATTTGTAAAATAAATGACATGTTGTAATGTAATTTGTTGTTGTTCATCTCTGGTTGTAATTACCCAATTGCAGGACCTGCTAAGGATCAGGTAATATTTATCTATTGATACTTAAAACCATGGAATTCAAAGACCTTCGTTCACAGACACACTGCTGTGTGTTTATGTCTGTGTATATATAACATTATTGATCTTTATAGCTTCTACATATTTATTTAAAACACATGAAAGTTCTGCTCTTGCTAGATTTGTATAGATTATTGTTTTTCATTTAGAATCAATCATTCCAATAATGCAATTGTGAAACCCCCTGAGTTGACCCCACAAGCTGCTGCAAAGGAGTTAGAAGAGGTGATGAAAAGGGTGCGGGAAGCACAATCATTGATTTCTGAGGCCATTGAGCCAGGTATGTCTCCTTACTGCCACGCTTTGGTGCATTGTACTTCCTGATGTTGATTTATGAATTGTACTGAACACTGTCATAGTCTTACTAGCTGCTATTTTGAGTAATAGTTCACAATGTAAGTGTGTACTGTCCAACTTGTTTCTGGGCCTTGAGCCGCTTGAAGATAAAAAGCTGGTCATGGTCTGCCAACGATGGCTGTGTAGTGACTGAAGAGCACCAAATACTTTTTTTTTTATAATTCAGTTCTCTGTTGTGTGCCGCGTGACAGGCTTGTTTCAACCTCCCTGGCGGTATGATTATGTAGGATTTTAGCATGCCAAAGCGGTACATTGTTTTTCATGGCAATTTGTTGTTTTATATTGTAGGCCTGTAATTCTTAGTAAATCTTAGGAATAACTGACCTAAATCTGTCCAAATAAGAGTCCAGTAGACATCCCGGGTATGATAAAGTTTGAAACACGAAATCGTAAATTATAATAAAATAAATATAAAAAATGAAAATCTAATAATTACAAAAATGGTCTAGTAAATGGGAATTCTGGGAGTGCTGCCTGATCCGTACCACAGTCAATAGTGCAGGCAGGGCACTGGACAAAGCTCTAGGTACAAAATTGAAGTGAAATAGTTTGATACATATATGTAATTATAGCAGATTACAATGTATTGTGTGTAAATCATGTTTGCACTTTTGAATTTCCCACCTGCTCCGCCCCCCGCTGTGACGCCAAAAACGAAACTGCCGGCATCGGCCGGGCGAACACAGCAGAGGACACCGCGGGCTCGCAGGGACAAGGTAAGTGACACTTTTGCGCAATCCCGAGTGTGGCTCGGGGTTACCCCTCTTGGTACTGAAAATGAACCCCGAGCCACACTCGAGAATACCGCCTGGGAGGTTAAAGGACAACTTCACCCCCCTTGTTTTTAAACCATTTTCTAATAGACTTGTTCTGTGGGAAGGAGCAGAAAAGGACAAGCATGTGGTAGCACTGCAGAGCAAGAAGCTGAGTGTCAGTATGCATATACAGTCATGGGTAAAACTATTGGCACCCCTGCATTTCTGTCAGATAATGCACCACTTCGCGCAGAAAATTGTTGCAATTACAAATGTTTAGGCATTCTCATGTTTATTTCTTTTGTTTGTATTGGTATGACAAAAAAATGGAGAGAAAAAAACAAATCTGACACATTCCACGCAGAACTCCAAAAATGGACTGGACAAAATTAATGGCACCATCTACAAATTGCAATAAATAATTGCATTCCAAGTTTTTGTGGAAAAGCATGGACCATCTTAAGGTAACAAGTCCATCTCCAGAGATCTTAATGTTCCTGTGTCCACTGTGCGCAACATTGTCAAGAAGTTTACAGCCCGTGGTACTGTAGCTAATCCTGGACATGGACGAAAGAGAACAATTGATCTAAGATTGCAACATAGGATTGTTTAAATGATTGATAAAGACCCTCCATCAACTTCCTCTGTTGATGGATAATATGTTACGGTACACTACAAAAATATATAATGTGCAGAGCCGAGATATTGCCAAAACGGGGGGGGGGGAAACCCCACTCTGGGAGGATATAGGGATAAAAGGGCCCGGGGACTGGAGTGGTTAACCAATAAAAAACTCCTCTCCCATGATGCAGTAGGAGCATTCCCTATTCTACCCTGCATGAGCTGTGTTATCACCACCATTATGATGGGGATGGTGGTGGGGAGCACACAATATGCTGAAGACATATTAGCAGCTCTCCTGTCACAGTTGAAATACTGGAGTGTTCATTGGTTCTGTTTATTACGTTCAGCATCTTCACATATGTAGGCCATACAGTAAACTCCCCATTATTCAGCATTCAAGCAACTGGCAAACAAATCGAGATCATATGTCCTCAATTTTTTTTCCAGGTTGCTTGATAAAATGAGGATACTAAATAAAAATGTTGTTGGCAACTACATTTATATAGTTGCTAAGCAAATTGTCAGTTTACATCTTGCTGCCCGACGGCGGCTAGATTCTGCGGTTGTCAGCAGAATGTAGACAATGGGAAGCATTAGCCAGCCTGCTATTGGCTGTTTCATATCGCAATAGTAGCCTGGTTATTGCATCCACCCACTGAGCAGAGGAGAGAACTAGAGAGAGAACTTTACTATTAACCAGGTGCTACACTTATCCAGCACCTACTGATCCCCGCGTGTGCCGGATAACTGGGAGTTTATTGTATTCTGCTTTTCAAGTAGCATGAACTTCTTCTTTAATTAGGATTTCTGTTACTTCAACATGTATAATCATCTGAGAATCCGGTTTCATATGCACTTTGGTATTTTTTACTTTCTTTTGCATTCTGTTTATTCTAAATAATAGATCCTGTGAAACCAGTTGAGAAGGTGTTGCCGAAAAACTCCAGATCCCGCTCACATTCTCGCTCCAGATCCCGATCAAGTTGGAAGCGTTCACACTCAAAGCAAAGGTAGATTAAAGGGATGCTGTAATGGTTTAGGGTCCGTTTTTTAATTTACATAAATATTTTATACACGGTACTCTCACGATACGGGTAGTGCAGGGCCTGATGGGTTCTCTGAAGCTGCTTTATTTACAGTTTGGGGATGAATTACGTGTGTGCGTGCGTGCGTGCGTTCTGTATATAGCCTGTTAAGGCACATATTATTGCATTTCTGTAATTATCTATCGTTAGTTGTATATTTTTTGTGTAAGTATATAAATTTGACTTGGTATCGGCCTACTGTAGTACACTGTACAGCAGAGCTCAGGGCAGGAGGAAGAAGTAGTACAAGGAGCCATTCCAGTGTGCAGAGTACTAAGCAGAGATAAGCTCATCTATGTGCTCCTACAGCAGAGTTCAGGTCCTGTCCCTTGCTAGACATGGTTGTGTTGTGGGACAGAGCTGTGTAATTCTCAGGACCGGATAGACAGAAATACAAATTATTTGGCAGGCATAACACCTCACTTATGGTTTTCCATCTGTGTATATAGATCAGGGGTAGTGAAATAACATTCCAGTGTGATGCAGTTGTACCACATCGTGGCTGGCTTCACTGGGAAAAAAAAGACAGCATCACCTTGCACTGGTTGCCCCCACCGGGAGGGGGGGCCCTCTTGCACAGTGTTGTCCTTTTCAACAACTTGTGAACGGCCATGTATAAATAAAGGCGGAGTTTCACTGTGTAGAGTTCATATTGTTCCATAATGTGCTCTAGCTATTGCCGCACATGAATTCTAGGAATGTGGGGTTTTTTTTTACTTTACCGTGTTGCTAGATGGAAGGTAGGTAAGTTTTGGTATAAAATCAACAACCGACTATTTCAACTGTGGCTTTTTTTTAGAAATCGTTCTTTCCTGTCGTTCTGTGGTCTGTTTGGACTCTTATTTATGAAGGTTTCTGAAACACAATGTTGCATACAGACAGTTTTTTATATATATATTGTATGCGCTCCTGATAATTGAGTTTGAGTGTTCTTTACAAGCTCCTCATAATTATATTATTAAATATAAAAGTTTTACTAATGATCTAAAATACTTTTAATGGCATTTTTTGTTGTCCTTATTTAGAAGTCGATCACATAACCGCTCTCGGTCCAGACTCAAAGAGCACCAGAGATCTAAGAGTCCTCACAAGAAACGCTCTAAATCTAGAGATCAACGCAGATCAAAAAGCAAATCGCGTTCCAGGTAATTGAAGTCATGCGTTCATAACATTTGTCATTGTTTTATTATAGGGCCTTAGGACACTAGCTGATTTTATTTTAAGGAAAGATTCTTTTACAGTGGTGTGTGTTTGTTTTTTACATGCATGTGATTTTAGCTTAACCCTTTTGCTGCCACGAAAGCAAGTAATGCGTGCCAAATGACAATTGTGCCACATGGGATGAAAACAATAGTACTAGAGTAATGCTTCCTCCCTTTATACCTGACATATTGTTGAACTGTAAACCCAAGACACGGTGAATCCGCACATTCATTTTATATGCATCAAATCCTAAAGCTGGCCACACACTCTGAGATTTTCCCTGCTGCCAAGAACCCGCTCAAATACCACAGACCAATGTCTCTTGTGCATGTTATTGCTGCTTTTTTTTTTTTTTTTTTTTTGTACAAAAAGCCACTAATCCATCTTCCTTCCTTTTTTTTTTTTGTCCGTACGATTCATACCTTCGAGAAAATTTGGCCAGGAGTAAAGTCAAAAAAATTGATTGATTATCGTTCGAAAGACTGTTCCTGGAGATTTCTGAGCAAAAATCGATGTGTATGGGCACCGTAACCCCTACCCTCTGTATGTCTCGGCAGAATGTGAGAATTGCCGGACCAGATGGAAGTGTTCCCATTCTCAGTCATCCAGTTTCATTGGTCCAATGCTTTGCTCTCGCCTAATATCACTCTTTCTGCCGGATCTTCTCATTTCTAAGGCATTTTCACCCTTAGAACTGCTGCTCTGTTGTATGTTTTTCATTCTGTTTTTTATGCAGACGCTGGAGAATAGTGCTAATGATTCCAGCATTTTCAAAAAGGCAGAAAATACAATATCTGAGCATTTCTTACATGGTGAACGTTTTACATCACATGTCATGTCCCCTCTCTTGCTGGTAGAACAGCCGACCCTGACAACATGTTTTCTGTGCAGGGATGTGGCCATGATGTTCTGTTAGTCTATTTGCATTAACAAGAAGCTGCACCTAATAAATTGACCACTAAGTGTTTCATTGCTGCAAAACTATTCTTCAACTAGATTCAACGTTCAGAATCTTATATTAGATTACATTTGATGTTTTAGAGAGAAGAAGAGAGAAAAGGACAGAAGTAAACCTAGGGACAAGGAGCGCACAAAAGAGAAAAACGATAAAAGGAAAAAAGAGAAAAGGTCTCGTAGCCCTTCGAAAGGCCACTCGTCTATCAGAAGGTCCCACAGTGTTAGCAGGTATGGCTGTCACACTTTTACTATTTTTGTAACTTTAACTTAATGTGTTTTGTATTAATTTACATAATGTTAGTCAGCAGTGCTTTGCATTGAACATTGAGCTATAAATCTCAGTCTTTGGCCCTAAAGGATCTGACACTTTGTTGGCTCTATTACAGTCAGATTTGGGTAGAAGTCATTTAACTTGCCACTAAGTTTTAGGTGATAGCCACAACATTGATACAACCCAAAACCCTTGGAACATCCAACCTTTATTTAGAGGCTGTACTTGATGGGAATTAAACCCAGGGCTGCAGAGTCTAATCACTTAAGGTGAAACATTGCACAGGGGGAAAAAACTGCAAGCAGGAAGGTTTTCTTTTTATTGCAGAAGAGACATGCTATTTCGTCTACAATAAACGCTTCTTTCCTTACAAATTTATTTTGTATGTACACAGAGTTAAGCAGGTGCAGCTCAGTGTGCACAATTTCCATGCCTCTGGGCCTGGGATAGATAAACTCCCCTGTGCATGAGTTTTGTCATTCTGGGTCAGCCAATCAAAATGACTGAAGATGCCAAAATTGGAAGAGAACCAGGCAAAGATGCCAGCGAGAGAGCTTGCAGATGCCACATCACCAGGGAAGTATTTAAGGACTTTAGTTGCGCTTTAAGGCATACTGTCATTATAAATTGCTACTCCAGTGATGCTGGAATTGTGCTGTCAATTATATCAGAAGTCCAGTACTAGTGGCTGCCATTTCCATCCACCTTCTAGAACCATTAGCTTACTGGGCTGTCTGACTTCAGTACTTTCCCTGCCAAGCAGTAGAATTATGTCAGCCTACATGCTCACCACAGTGCAGGTTTATTTTAATGTTTTGTTTTAAGGTTTATTGTGTTGTGGAATTCTTATGTATCGCACTAATCTGATTGGTTTAGTGTGATACAAATTGGATGCACAATTCATGTTAAACATCTGTAAAGTATTTCCTAATTCTAGTTAATATTGCCTGGTGATTAGTTGGTTTTGTTTGTTTGTTTTTGTGCAGAGAAAGGCGCAAAAGGAGGAGTCGAAGTCTTTCCAAATCTCCCAGAAATTCCAAAACTGCAAAGAGGGTTTCTAGGTCTCCTACTCCTAGAAGGTAATACTCAGATTCTATTTATCATTAACTGGACACTATTTCTAATATTTTGTTGGCATGGGGGGGGGCGGCGGTTTAATACTGTCATTTTATCTGGCAGAGGCCATCTGTAGAGTTCAGAGTAGAGACTGAGCTGGTTTATTTTGTGAATGATGGTGTGTGTGTGTGTGTGTGTGTGTGTGTGTGTGTTATGTGGTGAATGATGGTGTGTGTGTATTATTTTTCTTTTTTATTATTTTTTTTTTTCTTGTAATCTTTAGGAAAAGGAGAACATAGCAAAGTGACAAAATACTGTTCTACAGTGGGAATGTAGAAGACAAAAATGAAGGGAGCCCCCAGCACAATGGGAACTATAGACTGAATGAGGACAGTAAAGAAGGGGAAGCAGAAGTGGATTAAATCAATCATGGGCACTGCTCCTCTGAAGACTCTTCGATCGGGGCCACCCAGTGGGCATTATGTCCTCTCCTTACTACAACACTCTGCACATCTTGTTCTGTACCATCTGTTTACCACAGTGCGGTGCTAAGCCTAGGAACTCCTGAACTCTGTCACAAGAATCGTCATCATCTTCCAACATGTTTGTGAAGTTATTTAAACCAAATTTGTGCTAGTGATGGCAGCCATCCGAAAATGATGTGAGGTGTGTGAATGTGCTTTTATTTAGTTGGTTTTTTATCCTCCAGATATCGCATGGTGCAATCATTGTGAGGCAAAGAGAAGGTTCAAGAAAGATTTATATATAAACATTTTGGTATCTTTTATTTTATTTATTATTTTCACAAATCCTAAAAACTGTAACTGACCAATAACTGTTCCCTCTGGGATTTTAGTACTAAAAGAACGGTTATGTTTCATGTTAGCATTGGAGACATTGTGTGCTGTTCAGGTAATCATGTGAGAATGTTATTTTATTTGTCTTTTTCTCTTTTTTTTTTTAGTGTTTAGTCACCGTTTTCACTCCATTTCTTTCCTGCTAATATAAACACCAATATTTGTGTTTTTGGATTAACCCATCTTTTCATTGGGTGATATTTGTGTGGACCAGGCATGTCGAACTCAGATGAAGCAGTGGCCAACTTGAGTGCAATAAATCCTCATATGGCTGTGTTATGTCTGCTGAGGACCACAACAAACTAACTTGTAGAACTTCAGTAATTAACATTCTAGTAATAATTAGTGATAAACCAATACTGTTTTTTTCGGTATAGAGTACCGATATATATATATATTTTTTCCAGTATTCGCCGGTACCAATGCTGTGTGCCCGAATTATCAGGAAGTTGGGTGGCGGATCATGACCTGCTGCCCGACTTCCTGATTTCCTGGGAAGCCGGTGTTCTATTGAAAGAACACCAGCTTCTTTTGCTGAAGCTGCCTGGCTTCCTGACCAATCAACAAGACGGGCGGCGGGTCATGAGATGCCTCTGGCTTCCTGGTAACAAGTAAAGCTGGCTTCCTAGCCAATCTGGAAGTCGGGTGGCATGTCATGATCCAGATTGGCTCGAAAGCTGGTTTCACTTGTTCCTAGGTAGCCTGGCTTCCTGACTAATCGGGGAGACAGGTCATTAGGTGCCACCCGGCTTCCTGATTGGTTAGGTACTCCTAACCCACAGCCCGGGTTTCTTATTGGAAAGGAAGCCGGCTCCATGCTCCTTCGGCACTGCTGGTCAGAGGGAGATCTCTGGTAACGGAGGTAAGTATCGGAGCATTTGGGCGAGTACGAGTACTAATATCGTTATTGGTGCATCCCTAGTAATAATTGCAACTTACATTTTATGCCATATATACATTTCCTCCAGTGTTCAGCTGCAATATTATGAAAGGGAGTATGACCTTTATCACCTGGAGAACAGCTTGGCCCTCATTCACTTTAAAATTCTTAACCAGCTGAGAGCTGTACCTGGCTTAGATGGACAAGCGTGGTATAGGCTGTGTGAGGGTGCAAACCGACGTGCTCTAACCCGCATTTGAGACGAGGCAGCTCCTTGAATAGATTAACTGCCATTTTGGGCTGCCCTAAAAATAGTCTAAAGTAACAGTGGTGCTTAAGTGAGGAAATTCAAATGGATCCTAAGCTCAGGCTGTAGAAGGAGCCTTAACTTCTTCCCAAGTTGAGATTAAGGAAGAGCTAACTTCCGCTGCAGGTCTCCAGGGATTTTGCCATAATTTGCAAGTATGCACAGCATGACCTGCCTGCCAAAGTGCCAGTCTCCAGCCATGTGACCGCTGCAATCTCCCTCGTCACCCCTTTGCCACTGCTGGCGACTTAGCCTGTATCCAGAAGAAGACCCGGCTATGTTCACACCACATCCAGACCAGATCTGGAGAACATCTGCAAGTGCAGTGCATTTAAAAAAAAAAATGTAAAGCTTAAAATGGCTTTCAGGTGCGTTTCTGATACATTTCTATGCACTCCAGTGCATTTCAGACCAGAGAATGAGGCGCGCAGTATTTATTTATTTTCGTCTGGGCCGAAACGGACTGCGCTGGTGTGAACAGAGCCCAGAAATACCATAGGGATACATTGGAATATTTTTTGGTCCGGGCATGGTGTGAACAAACCCTTAGCGTCTTTGGCCAACTTAACCAGTCTGGGACAACATGACTCTTCCACACGTGCATTGCAGTTAATGTGTCCCGGCTTTACAGCCTAGAAATGGTGTGAATGAGCCACCCTGTAATAGAAGATACTATACTTACCTTACTTGTGGCTGGAGTGTGAAGCCTTTGCTCTCTTAATGAGCTCCGGGGGCCACTGCTATCAGACACTATCACCCACCGGCTGTTACTATATACTGCTGTGACAGCCACTGGCTGGAGAAATCCCATCGACCAGTGGAGCACATACTATCTCACACTCCTGGAAGTATTGGATAGCAGCTGCGCCTGGCTCTTTAGGACATCAAGGATTAAACACGCCTCTTGTTGGAAATGCAAGTATAAGATTTCTTCTTTTACCGGGGTTTGTTTTTATCAGGGTGGCGTTAAAGGAAACCTGTTCTGAGAGAAACATGGAGGCTGCCATTACTGACCTCTCCTCTAAATGCTAGTTATCCGGGTTGCCTGATCTACATATTTTTTCACTTTCAGTAACATGAAAAATATTAAAGTTTTTATAGTGTCCCTGTATTTCTCACAACGGGGATTTCAGACAGCTGACTGTAGACTACACAGTAAGACATAAAAATATGAACAGTGTTCTGAAACGAAACGGTATACATATCAGTTTTTGTTGGTGTTGTCTCCCTGTGCCGCCTTGCTAGAGTGCCAGGCTGCTGTTTTCTGCTGTTCTAGGACTTCATTTTATTTTTCATCCTGAGACTTCTAGATGGAGTTCTTGGCCTGTGTTGCCTGTGCATTGGATGTGGTGGTGGTGGTAGCAGCAGCCTGTGCAATGGGCTTGATGTTTTCTATTGAGGTTTACTGTTGAGCACCAACCTATGTTGGTTATTGCTGCATATACCCATTGCTTTCTGTGGAGTTCCACTGCACGTGTGTGAGTTTCAAAATTGAAGCAGAGAAGAACAAGCTGCTGTATACAGTGGTGCTGAGGCCTGGAAATGCGGTCTGTTGCTGGACATGTCAGGCAGTTTCTACTTCTATGATCTGCTGTCTATCCGATGGGGACAGCATAGGGGGGTGGAAGGCACATGGAACAATCCTAACTGCACTTACACTTTAAGACCCAGAAAACACTATTACTTGTATTGCAATGTTCAGGTAGAATAAACATGATGGGGTATTGTATGAAAACTATTCTTCACTGTAAAGCACAAGTAATGCTTCAGTGCCTTCTAGCAGTGCAGTCTCTTACATGACTGCTAATTAGGGACTTTACATGGTTGTTCAACCCATGTCTGTTAAGCTGTGTTCCTGCACATTGCCGCACATGTATGGTGTGAACAGGCCACATAGAAATCTGTGCCCTGCTTACGCTATACATGTGTAATGGTATGCAGAAAAACACAGCTCAACAGACATGGTGTGAACAAGCCCTAAAAGATCTCCACCAATAAGGTTTGCCGAGGTAACAGCCGTAATAATGTTCCTTGGCATTGCTGCTCCGTTACTGCAATCTGCCAGTTTCAGACTGAGTATGGAAACTCTGACAATTAAAGAAGAACTTGAGCCAAGGTTGGAAAGAGTGGGAAGTAGAGCCTCTTCCAGTTTTGTTTCCCTGCTATACTTCCCTTTGCTTTCTGGCCCAGAGATATGATAGGAAGTGAGTGGGCAAAAATGCCCAAGGTAGGGGGAAAATATCTACCTCTCAGAGTTGTCACTGGAAATGGCCCCCATGAGACGATATCCCCTTTACTCCAGACAATTGTCGCCATGAAGGATAGCCAGTCTCCTCAATGAAGTGAGAGCAATAAAAAAAACCTTAGATAGGTTCTCGCTCTTCCCTACAATATCCAAAACTGTAAAGTATTGGCGGGAGTTCTACTTTAAGCAGAGCAGGCTGAAAATTGAAGTGCTCAGAACATTGAAATTGGTGGAACATAGCAATAGCAGTAAGTAAAAGGTGGATGTCCCTTACACCTGTAACTGTATTATTTCCCTGTTAATGTGAGTCATTTTTCTCATTAAAACAGCTATGTGTCCAAAATGTCATAATAAACTGTCATACAAACTGTTTTTGTTGTTGGATTTATTTAAACTTGAGGATGCATTAACTTTGCAAAACTGCTCTGTGTTTTTTTGGTGCGTTGGAAAAAAATTAAAACCATTTATTCAAAATGTATTGTCAGATGATGGAAGAGGGTTACCTGTCATTTAATATTGGTGCAGATGACTCTCTGAACTGCTTTAATGATCATTGTTCACATAAGGGACATTGGTAATATAGATAGATATACATACACACAAGGAAAGATATCTAGATATTACATTAAGGTAGATAGATGTATGTCCCACCTGCCATCTACAGAAAGATTGGACACTGGCAAGCTCAAAAAAAAACCTTAGACCTGCCCAGGATATCCCTCCCACTACTGGCGTACCTTAGTTATATAGCACAGCAGCATAATCAAAAACAGAGGGACTGGACTTTAAGAAACCAGTTTTAAAATGAGTACACAAATGCTATCACCTTGGGGGTCTCCAAAAGCAGTCCAAATGAGGGGTAGGCAACATTGGTGACTGCCTACAGCTCAAGAGCTGCCAGAAGGACCCCTATGCCAAAGCTGGCATCAGATGAGGCTGCAACCTTTACCTAGTAGAATTTAGAAAGACATGAGAACAGAGCACCAGGTGGCAGCCTTGCATTGAGAAGCTGGTGCTTGATGCCAGAAATACTCACATAACCAGAAATTAGTCTTGATATGAAAGGAAGGAAACAGATTCTTCTTGGAAGACTGTTTACCTGAAGCCACCAAAATGGTGGAATGAGAAACCAAATTAACCTACAGGGTGCATCTGGCATGACCAACGATGAGCCTGTAGCTGATAGAGCTGAAGATTCACTGCCTGAACTGCTGTCCAGCAAGGAAGAAAAGCTCCTCTCTGAGAACTGGAGCCAGACAGAGACTGAAGATCGATGTCTCGGGTTGAGAGGATCCAAAACTGCCCTAGGTCCGAAGAAAAGCCTCAACATACTTGATCCCATATCAGACTCAAAAGGAAATTGGGTTCCTTGCATGAAAAAGGCAGTGATGTCAGACACCTTGCAGAGACTGACTACCAGAAAAGAACCCCATGAAATAGAGTAGATATACCTCTAAGAAGTTCTAACTGCAGTGGCTGAAAACACAAATAGAACCACATTTTGATCCCATGTAGTCAAGGGACAAACAGAGCAAGGTACATGGGAAACTCCCTATTTAAGGCCACCGGCAAAGGATGGAAGGTTCATATTCTTAAAATTATATTGAAGTCAGAATGTTTTTTAAGCTATTTGAAATGCTGATTACATTACCATCAGCACTTGCTGAAATATCC